CCTCAAATGAAAAGAGACATGAAAGGAAAAAATGACAGAGGCGCTGTCAAGCATCTCAAAAGATGAATTTAGACAATGTTTTGAAAAATGGAATAAAAGACTAAACAAGTGTATTAGTGTAAGTGGAGAGTACTTTGAAGGTGATTGAAGGTTTGTGCTTAAAATTTGAATAAATAAGTTAAAAAAAAATAAGTTTGGTTTCTTTTGGGTACCCCCTCGTACAGTAAGAATGATATTGTTATAGCGAAATAATTAACACACGTACTGTATTAAAGAAGAGAGCTTAACATAGAGTGCACAAAGTTGACTGAATTTACATCGATGATTGCAGTTTTTCTGGTCTGTTCAAAATATTATCTGTACACTGAATGAAAGGATAATGTTAAAGAAATAGTGTGTGGGGAGTGTGTACTGGATTTATTTGGCTTTGGGTAGGTACCAGTGGCAGTCTCTTGTGAGTAAAAGAGTCAATCGTTGGGTTTCATAAAGGGTGGAAAATTTGTTGACTGAATGACTAATAGCCTCTCAGAAAGGATTCTGCTCTGTGAAATTCATATGTTCGTTTGTTGGTCATGGTAGTTATTTAGTCAAGACGAAAAGTACACAGATTTTTGTTGTTTTTTTTTTCAGTTGTTGTGTATTGTTTCCACAATACTGACCAGGAACCCTGAACTAACTTTCCAGAATCAGCTGGACCTAGATCATCTGGTGAAAGAAGCCTTCCTGTTGTACTGTAAGGTAAACATTTCTTCCTGCCAGGGAATCCATTGAGGTAGATTCTGTTAGATCTACCATAGTTCAATCTAGCTGATCTTTAGAGTTGGTTATGTTTAATTTGTACATGAAATGGCACTACCATGCAGAATGTTTGATTTTCAGAAATTTTTTACTTGACACAGAGTCTACTTTGTGTCATTTAATTTTATGGGTTCTTAACCTGAAGTGAGTGAAATGAAAATGTAATGGGGACATTAAGTCTATACAAGTTTCATCTCCAGAAATGCCACTGATTTGCAAAGACATTTGATTCTCTAATTTTATGCTAAAAGTCATTCAGAGATTTTAACCTTGTTACATGTCATTTCAGTCGGGGGATATGGTAGCATGGTTGGTTGAGGCACTTTGCTATATAAGCCAAAAGGTCACGGGCTCGAATCCCAATGATTTGGATATTTTCAATTTACCTAATTCTTCCAGCTGCACTATGGCCCTGGGCTCAACTCAGCTTCTAACAGAAATGGGTAGCAGGAATATTCCTCTGGGTAAAGGGTGGCCTGCTCCTAAGGCTGACAACCTCACTGCCATCTGTGAGCTGGTTGCCTAGAAAATGTGGGAGCCTCACCATCTCACAACCCTATGGTCCTCCATGGCTTGTTACAGGGATACCTTTACCTTACATGTCATTTCAATAGAATCCTTTAAGTAATTTTCAAATGAAACTCACATTTCCAAAAAACTCATCCACATTAAAATGAACTTCAATGTCTACATTTTATGTGTGGAACATTTTTGAGTGTTGTGAATACCAATATTTTGTGAATTAATAAGTTTTGCATCTGTGTAGTATGATGAGCTTTGCAACAATAGATTTCTGTCTTAAATAAACTGTACATCGAGATCAGTCAGGTATGTTAAGTAAGAAAGAGGAAAGATCGCATTTTATGAAACATTACTTGTTGTGAACCCCAACACTTATAGTACAGTCCGTGACATTATTAGACTTGGCATATGAGGGATAATAAGTTTAATTCTTGTAACCCAGTGTAGATCTTAAAGAAGCTGTATCAAAGGTCCCTTATTTTTTGTGACTCCTATAATGTAAATTCTGTACAAACATACAGGATTGAATATTTTTAAGAATTGTTGCATTAGATCATTTCATTTCCTAACTAGTCTCATTTTCATGCCTCTCTGTAAGATTTGACATTTTTGATTAAAATTTTTACCGCAGGAAATGACATAAATTTTCTCAGGCAATCCCATAATGAAGGTACTTGTTTCACCCAACTTCTGTGTAAACAGTCCCGGAGGATTAGGAAGGGGATGTAGCATGTTACAGGGTGCTGAAACATACAGCAAATTATGAATCATGATTATAGCCTGTAGCTTGAAATTTACAGGATAACAAGACAGAGAAACTGGATGACTTGACTCCATTCTTCTCCACCCACTACTCCATGACAACTGGCTACTTGGCGCGAGCAGTTGTTAACAACGTCCTGCAGGGTGGACAGTTGGCAACAGGTTCTGGCAGTGACAATGACATTGGTCAGGAAGAGCCATGTAGAATTTCATAGCTGCATATTTACACTCACATGCAGTGAAATTGTATCTATACTGAATTTTATGCAAATAAAAACTAGTCTGATGTGTACATTACAGTTGATAGTGAATCATTAGATTTGTTTGTTAAAAGTTGTTGAAGGAAATAAAGCCAATGAATATAACAGAAATATGTGAAAGATGTGGATTTTCTTTCCTTGTTTAATGTCTCTCCTAATATCAATTTGAAAGAAGACATTATTATTCCCAATTTTCTTCTTTCTTTTAATGCGTAATATATGAAATTAATGTGTAATGGGAAGTTTATGCTGTAGCCATTTTTCCACGTGTTTTGCCCCAGATGACTGATGAATTTCAGTGAATTTTTTTGTAGGAATCTACAGTAAAAGCCATCAGAATGTTTAAATTTCAGTTTGTATGAGTAAAGTGTATCTCCTATTTTACTCAAACCTTGATCAGACTTGCACAGTTTTCTGAAGAGTAGCTCATCATATAAAAAATTTATGCGTGGTATAAAATGTAGACCTTACATTTGAAACACTTTTTAAACTGCTGAATATGTAATATAACTAAAAGCAAATAATATCCGTTTGTGAACTATGATACATATAACATGATTCACTCTGGAGTAGAGTATTTCTTCTGCAGTAAATGAACATTAAGACCAGTGATATATACAAAAGAATAAAGAATATGTTCTGAAAATACCAGTATATTGCTCCATGGTATTTCACCTTACCCCTTTTATTTATTATGTGTTATTATTTAACTTTCAGTATTTATATGGACAGATGGGCTTATGGTAATATCATACCCATATGTGTGTATTTATGAACTTTTGAGTCAGTATACATACTTCATAGAACTTTGTATGCATATCATACCATTTAAGATTACCTTATTTGTATAGTTTTTAATTTCTATCAGTAGTTTCAACAGAATGAATTATGAGCTTATGACTGAACTGCAGTGTAGTGTTAGCAGTTGATCTAGCCTCCATTTTCTTGTTCTTTCTGGTCTTCTGCCCTCTCTTCCTCATCCTACTTCCATCCATCTTTGGTATCAACTCACATGACATCATTTTTCTTTCTGAAACAAAGCTTTTCTTGCATCTTTCTTCACACTGGTTTCTTGTATGGCATACTCTTCAACCCAGAGATGGAGGTGACATGTCCCCCCAAAATGCCAGTTGACTTTCACTGGACTGCACTGCAGAAAATAGAACTCTTCATAACCACTGTGAGAACCTCGAATCCTGCAGTAACTAAGGGGTACAAAAAGTGCAGCCATTAATCAACACATGGATAAGTGAGAGTCCACTGTAACAATTTATGTAGTAGTCCAATAAAAATATTGGAAAGAACATATTGGCATGATCCCTAAAGAAAGATTCAAAATATCAGAAAGGAAAAGAAGTTTGTGGAGGAACTGTGAATAATGGAAAGATTATTTTGTAATATCCATAACAAATCTCAGTATGCCTAATACTGGAAAAGATTGTGATATGACTCAGTAGAGCGATGTTGACGTAATTCTATGTAAGTTCAGCACAGCATTTCACTACGAGGTCTCTTATTTGTAGCTAGTAAAAAATTACAAAAAATAGGCTCTATGCATATTTTCATACTTGTCATTTGAGTAATGAGAGAGTACTTTTGAAAATTACAATGAAATGTCAGTTGCTCAGAAATGAGTTGTGCAAAGATTTATTTAAGTAATACCATACCCTGCCCCTTGTCAGTATCTACATTTTACTACTGTTAAGATCTGTAATTGACAACACAGAAATGTTTCAGACAATTGAGAGACTTAGGAAGTCAGCACAAGTCACATATTTTATCTTGACAGTTTTTAACTGTATGGTATACGAGCAAGATTTTAGAATAAGATCTTAAAGCTTGTGGCGATGGTATATTAGTACAATTATTGTGTTCTTGGACATTATCCATCTTCCTGAGATAGGGAGCAGGTTTATCGATTGGTCACAACTGATTAGGTTTTTACCAGAAGACAGAGACAGAATCCAGTCCCCGAAACGTTGTTCTTTAAAAAAAGCAGGATGATGGATAATGCCCAAAAACACAATAATTGTATTACAATTGTAGAAGTATACAATGTGCACTTATCAGGTGCATTCCACAGAAGGAATTATGTATAGAATGTAGTAACTTTGATGCTTTTTAAATACTTAGGCCCGTATGGAAAGAGAAGTGGAGCTGATGTGAAAAGGGGAAGTGATATTCTGTAATTCTGGTGGTTATATATAGTGAATGAATAAACTATATTAGCCGTCATTGTTCACTGTTATTACACACTATAAAAGGAAATTGAAATCAAAACTTACCCACTCTTCACCTGCATTTGAATTGCAATATATTGTGCTGAAATGAAACTTTTGTTTTCTTGTGCATTAGCCTATTATGGTACAGAGTAAATCACTTCGGCAGCTCATTCAGTTATAACTAAACAATAAGGTTTATTTATACGAGCATATATTGAGGTAGGAAAAAATTTCCTTTAATTAGTATTGAGAATAGAGGACGTTGAAAATCTTCGCGTGTATTCTGAAAACTTGTTGAGTGTTCCATGTAAAAGCTGTGAAATTATGTATATTGTTTAATTACCTCGAAAGACTTAACTTACCCTCTGGGGGGGACGTATTGTTTCTGTATTTTATGCAACTTTTGTTCGAATTTTTTTGTTTTTGTTTTGCTAAGTACGAGTATTTAGCGAGTTAACGTGCTCGATATATGAGCAGAAACGCAAGTAGGTCTTCATGTAACTGTTATCTCTGCCCGATTTTAACCAGAACTGGAATATCAACGTTATTAAAACTCCCAAATATCACATTTTATGAAAATCCTTTTAGCGGTCCTCGTTTTGTTTCATGCCACAGGTAGATGGATCGACAGAAGAAACTTAATAGTACAGTATTGTTTTTATTGGTAGTGGGTGGAACTAAGTCCCTCGTACTGCGGCCACTTCTGGCCTATTGCACCAGCCCCAGATGATAAGTGAGGGTGATTGTGGAGCAATTGGTGGAATGAAGATTGGCAGGGGAAACCGAAGTACTCTGAGAAAACCTGCCCCAGCGCCACTTTGTCCACCACAAATCCCACTTGAGCAGACCCGGGATCAAACCCGGGCCGCCGGGGTGGGAAGCCAGCGACTCACCGGTTGAGCTATGGCGCGGTAATAGTACAGTAAGTTCCCTTTCAAAACTAAACGCTAATTCGTAAATAAAAGACGCCTAAAGTGACAGTGTTATGTTTAGGTACCGGCAATTTAAGTTTATAATCCAACATTAATAAAATTACATTTCTCTGATATTCGGGTTTCTCTTAAGGCAGACACAACATATTTTCGATTTTTTTTTTTGCATCTAAAAATCCGTCCTTAACTATTACCGTTTTTGAGAAGAACTTTTACACAATTACGTATTATGATAATTATCTTTGCCAGATGTTTCGCACAATTGGCTATCTTTTTAAACGTAATATTCGTAGCTCCAGTGGATCGCTAATTATTTTTGTGAAACTGAAATTCAAATGAACATTTTATTGCGATCGCCATGTCGTTTCACGTTCTTCAGAAAAAATTACTGTAACCAAATTTAGCCCCCCCCCAATCTGTCTGCTTCATTCGCCATGTTGCATTTGTGTTTGTATTTATTGTAAGTTCAAGAGATCCAGAGATGGATGTAGAACATGTCATGCTGGTTTTCTGATTGGAGGGTACCAGTTTATGGGGATCTGCAGTGTCCTAATATCTGTACCACATTTGGTGAAAGTGAGTCAGAAGTTGAAAGGAAGGACACACGCAGCATGAGCTTATAAGCCCATATTATCGGGCCTGTTTTCTTTCTAAAAAGTATGTCTGTTCAATCAGAATACTGTGCCCCAATGCTCTTGACTGAAATCTAAGAGGTTCCTTATTCGAAATAGTTGAGAACCAGTGAACGTGTTAGCTTTCCCCCCTGTTTTCCTTAGGCCCTCCAGGTAAATTCCGAGACAGTAAGTTCCTATGAGTCACATCGCTTTCAAGTACATATCCAAAATGAATCTATCGTCTCATTCGTGCTGCTACTTAAACTTATATCTGCACACGAGATATCATTTTTCAATAAGGCATGAATTAATTTAACTGTAATATTATTTTTGCTGGGAAGAATCTGACGAATATGAACAATTTTCAGTTTCACGAGGGCTTGAAGACGTTAAGTTAAATAGATGAAGCTTGGCAAGGGGAAATATTTATATTTGCAATTCAAATTAAATTTATCATCTCAAAAAATACAGCAACGTTGCCTTGAAGTTCCCACTGAAATACCATACTTAACTTTTGTATTTGGCCTAAGGAACGAAATTCTGCAGTGTAATTTATAGTGTAATATCTGATATCATGACTTCTGTATAAGGCCTATTGATTTCTAGTGCCACTTGTTTATTTTTGTCGGACAATGGATTGGACATCCCTTGTTATTCTTATTCGTGTCATCGACACGAGCAAAATTCTCAGGGCCATCATGGTCTCCGACCGGATTTTGATGTCTACACAGAACGCAGGAATGTTTCAAATATTTTTTTTTATGTACCTGTTCCTATCGAACGTAAACGAACTGAATGTTTCATCTTGTTACTTGCCTTCGGGAAACACAGGTTCTGTAACATCTTAGCCAAATTGCATAATTTCCGTTTCTTTAATTTTCTTCAGTTATGCCAGGCCGACGCTTTCATTCTCTCGTACAATTTCACTTATTAATATAAATAGCAGTCAGAGTAAATAAACTTGTCATACATAGCTAAGCAATATTTAGACTAGCAGATATATTCGTCATATTAATTTAATTTAAATCTAAAGAAAACTCTATAACTTCCTGGGTGGTCGCTTGCTCTAAAGTTGCGGGCAAATTTCCGTTAGAAAGAATAGTAGACGCCTAATATACTAATGATTGATGTCTATGGTTTTACAAGCAATAAATTGGTTTTAAATGGAATGATTGGGTGTTCAACGGTACGACAGAGTGGCTGATGACCGAAGTGAACTTTTCGAAGTAGTGATGAAAAACAATACACATTTCTGAGGAAAACAGGATATAATTGGAATCAGTTATGTAACTCTGTGAAATTGAAATATCTACTGCACCCCTTCTTCTTCTTCTTCTTCCCTTGGCACTACAGCCCCAGTGGGCCTAGGCCTACCTCCATGAACTTCTCCGTTCACTTCGGTTTTTCTAGATCTTACACTTTCGGTAGGACTCCTTGGGCGGGTGATGAGCTCGTCGCAAGGCCTCTACCTGTACACAAACACAGAAAAACGCAGACACACAAACTAAATATCCATGCCCTGAGTGGGATTCGAACCCATGATCCCGGTTTCCAAGCGAGCGAAGACAGCACCTGTCTTAGACCGCTCGGCTACCGTGACCGGCACTGCACCCCTTAATAATTACAAATTTCCTAGTTGCATTTCAACGGGCTATTACGCTAATTAATTATAGCCTACACCATAGTATCATAATTTTTAATATGCTACCATGTGTATTGAATTATGCGATGGAAACTGGGAACCATAAGTTCTTAAAACTTCTTGGATTCTTAGAGAACAAAATTTTAGTTATCCGAGTGACTGCCATTTTTAGACTCTATATTTTAAATGTTGAGGCACGCAGTAGCGTATAATAGTTCTTGAGGCACTATGCTACAAGCTTCTTCATGAACAGTTCAAAGATACACATGGCAGCATTTTGGACGTTTTATTGCTTGATGGAAATGAGGTTGTAAGCCGGTATGTTTTAGCCAGTCTGGTCTGGAGAAGTCTGTCTGAAACGTTTTAATGCCTATGCTGTTAAATACACGGTCATAGTGGTGTCGCAAGTCCCATTTCAGTTCATCGTGCATACTTTGTACGCGTTTTATACGACATCGCGCTCAAGAAGGGGCTGTTCTTCATACCAAGAATCCCACCACATAGACCTATTGTAACGCATCACTATCTCGGAATAAAATATGATGCAAAATGTTATATTGTCTAATATATGTAAGTAGCAAAAGAATAAGAAAAAAACATAGCATATAAAATGTCGTTCAAAGCTACACGCAAAGTTATATTTTAGCGTCCTGTTGCACTGACTCATGTCCATGATTTATGCTAACCGTCTTACAGTGCATACACTTTTTTCACCTTACTCTTCTCTTTTGCACTACAAGTTTCGGCACTAATGTGCCATCTTCAGGTGCGTTTTCTCTATGCACGTCTAACTATTGCATCAGGACATGCCCTGTTGCAATAGTTAGACGTGCGTAGAGAAAACGCACCTTAAGATGGCACATTAGTGCTGAAACATGTAGTGCAAAAGAGAAGAGTAAGGTGAAAAAAGTGTATACACTGTAAGACGGTTAGCATAAATCATGGACATTCACGCAAAGTGTTGATTGTAATCGATTACAATGGTCAAATTTATACTTTAATATCAAGTTTCAGTGACAACCCCTCATGTAAAATAATGACAATATCTGATGAAAAGTAACAGAACAAAGGTAAAACCATCCCCATACCTAATTAATTAGGGACCACACCATAAAAAATGTGTGAGAGAGTGGAGGTATAACTATACCATTCTTGACCTCTGCACTAGATGGTGGTGTGTGGTCAGCTTCATTCCTCGGCAGCTTTACCACCGGGGAAATAGCCCCCGATACCCATTGTATAGGAGGCAGTGTAGGCACCAGATCCGGCCTGGACATTGTGGAGAGAAAAAGAATCTTTTCTCTTCCTGGAATCGAACCCCCGCTCCCCAGCCCTTCGTTATACTGGCTAAGCTATCTAGGCTAAGCTATCTATCGCATATTTTGCGATTTTTGTATCGTCAAATTTAGGCCCGCGCCATAGCTCAAGCGGTTAGTCGCTGCCTTCCCACCGCGGCGGCCCGGGTTCGATCCCGGGGTCTGGTCAAGTGGGATTTGTGGTGGACAAAGTGGCGCTGGGGCAGGTTTTCTCCGAGTACTTCGGTTTCCCCTGCCAATCTTCATTCCACCAATTGTTCCACAATCACCCTCACCTATCATCTGAGGCTGGTACAGTAGGCCAGAAGTGGCCGCAGTACAAGGGACTTAGTCCCACCCTACTAGCAATCGTCAAATTTTGTGTGTTCAGTATCATAGTTACAATATTATCATGGTAGTGAATCTTTCACATGGGAAGTGAAACTGCACCGGGATTGTCATGGGTTAGGAGACAAAAGACACCGGAATTCCAGTCGTTAAATCATGTCATTCGGCTGATGAAGCACATGTGAATTTATGATGAACGGAATTCTCATGACGCACAAATAGGTACGGGAAATAAAACATCGGTTTAGCTTTCCTATCGTACTTTGGAAATAACTCGTTATGTTCTCATGAGTCCATTTGATCATGTAGTTACAATGTTTGTGACCTGTATCTCTTTTCTTTGGTGCACATTCTGAATGAGATAAACATAGTAGCCACTGTTGATGATTTATTTGTAACGGTTGGTACGCATTGTAACTTTCATGAAGAAGGTCGAGGTTGCATCGTCTGCTAGCGACGCGACTCGCAGTTCAGTACTGTTCGTGTTCGAGCGACGTGTCGACAGACATTTCGTGACGAACATGCGTGTAGTGTGACTTCGAGTAAACGACATGTTTTGAAGTTTCTGAATCTTAAATTATAAAATAACAATGTGTATTTCAGTTCTCTTCTTAATTAATGCGCTAATGTTGCAAATGACATGGGGCGAATTTGTCTCGCAAGAAAGTAAAGACGTGCCACCATTTCGTTCAGAATATTCCGCTTCAAGTAGTGGCGCCGGACCGTAAGTAACTAAAGTTTATGAACATAATGTTGGGTGGGCATGATGGGATAGGTTATGAGTCACCTGTTCCTATTAAATTGAAGTACAGTGGCTGAAAATACGTTCGAAAAAGAACTGGGAAGCATAAAGTGCAGCATTCAACTCTACAGGTTTAATAGGAAAATATAAAATCCATGTTTTACATATAAGACACAGCAAAGGCCCATCCATACATTTAACGTAAATTTGTTATAAATGTATAATTTATAAAACATTTTTCTATTCCTTATATTTTGCAGTTTTCATTCCAGGCATTTCTTTCATATTGCCTGAAACTCCATAGTTCTTTCTGCTACTGACTGAGAAAATAGAGAACTTACGTTCTCGATATATTATGAACGTCGAATGCACGGAATATAGTAATACCTTGGGGCATGGACATTGCCACCTAAAAGGACACCTTTCCAAACTGAGACTGGCAGACGACCCAACTTGTGAAAGTTGCCTACAAGAAGATGAATCAGCCACACACATCTTATGTGACTGTGAGGCTATAGCTTACCTAAGATATCGCCACCGGGGTCAGTTTTTCGTGAAACCAAATGACTTTTATGACGCCCCTATAAATAAAGTCCTACATTTCATTCGAAGTGTAGGATTAATGAAGGGTTAATCCAAGGGGGAAGCACAATAGATTATTGAAGGTCATAGTGCGAGGGCCGGTATTTATGGCTCACCCCTCATACCAATACTCATACTCAATACCTTGGGGCATGCTTGTAACCACAATATTTAGTATAAATTCTTTCGTTGTGAAACTTTGCTGTCACCATGACTTTTAGATTTTGGATCAGTCTGTCTTAACCTTTAACGTCCGAAGTGCCGCTATCGGGTCAGTGATTATGGTCGTCGTGGCCAAAGTACCATGTTTTGGGCATTCGAGCATTTAAACTCCGCTAGTGGGAGTGCATGCACAGTAGTAAATATTTATTTTAAATGTAGTAATTACCAGACTTGAGTAAAACCCTAATAGAGGAATTAAAATAAGTGAACAACAGCAAAAAAATATACGTATGAGTTATGCCCAAACTCATTCATGAGCTAGTACTTTTATTGCAGATTCTACAGATTAATGTGTTAAAAATATATAGAAAAATTCCATGTATATACCTTTTTTGTTATCTACTTGATGTACGAGTATATATAGGCTGAAATTATACTACAGTATTCGATTTCACTATGAACGCACAGAGAACAGATCGCACTCTGTATCTGAGCCACGATGCAACAGTCTGTTCACGACCCTTCAAAGGGCAACAATCTCTTGCAGCTATAACGGAAGGTCTTAGCACCCCTCTAGCTTTCTCTTGAATAGCCATTCTTTTATTATTCTGTCCTTTAGTCAAAAGATTCTAAAATCCGAAGAGTGTAAGCAGCGCTAGCAGAAGACCAAATGATTTTATTGCTTCCATCTGTTTTATGACACCAGGGACTGCTAAAATTTGTCAAGTGTTACAAACAGAAATTAATTTATAACGCAGAACAATTCTATGCAGAACTGGGAAACCATTTTTGCAGTTAACATCAAAATCAAAAGAAAACAAATTGAAAATTTTGTATAGAAATTTTCAAATCTTCCGTTATAATATGCGACGCTATGTACTTTGCTGATACAAACAAAGTTAATTCCATCCATTTATGATCAAAATTGTGTTAGATACAGCATTTTTAAACACAATGCTGAAAATTGTTTAGGCGCCTTAACAGGAACGGACATTTAAACGCAGATTAGAAACGGGCATTTAAATAAACTCCGGCCAGCTTAAGCTCATCACCATTTCAAAAGCCCGGCGTTTAAAGGTTAAAACAACAATAAAAGTAAGAACACATAGGTATTGGTGTCCCAAGTGGAATTCGAACCCAGAGTCTCAGTGTACTAGCTTTCCAGTACCTCGCAGCTACCGTGATCACGAGGACGCGCCTGAGTGAGAACATGTCAGAAGCGGTGGTGATCTCAGACATCATGTTGCCATCGCTTGGTTGTAAACTGCCCTTCTATATGCAGTGCACACTCCATTGTCCAACGAATAATGTTTTCGACCTTCCCAACATAGTTATTGCACATAATAGGGGAATTTTGATAGTCTAATTGGGATATTTGCCATTTATTGTGAAGAGAAGCTGAAGATATAACGTTTAAGGAATGAATTTTTCATATTTCTTTAGGTCTGTTTGCATGTGATATCGGGATACGAGTACCCAGGCAATTTTAATCGAATGAGTGTCGAGTGTATTTCTGAGAAACTTCTGCGCAGCCCACCTTGCTGTGTGCATGTTATATATTATTTTATTGTTTTTTAAAAGTCTTCGGATAATATTTTAAAAATAAAAAAAAACACTGTAAACCTAAACCAGGCGTAATAAAAGCATTCATACGTATAATTGATCGATATGAAACACAGGTTCCCATTTACTGGCATTACAAAATCGCCATCAAAGAAAACCATCAGGCTGTAGAAGCAGAAATCATTCTCATAATTACAATATCTCTGGTTCAGAATACTTGACTTCAGTCTCATATCGGTATGTATAAAGCTTATTTGTTTTTACAATAAAATAATCTCTTAAGAATGGCGCTAAATTGCCCGTTCGTGAATTCTGGACAGCATTTCATTTCAAGATCCTTGGAAACAGTTATATAGCAATTCAGATGGTTATAATTAGGAATGAGGATTTTAATTGCGTAACTCACTTCCTCATTATCCTTTGAATGTCATTCTATCGCCACACAGATGTTGGTATTCTTACGACTAGAGCAATTTTCTCCATTCCTCCGTATGCATCGCATTCTCCCTCTTCCTCACTGCTAATTTTCTGGCCTGAGACGCTAGGAAATAGACAATTCTCGTCATCTAAGAAGCCAACTTACAGTTTTCTGCATGACATAAACGTAGAATCGAGAGATTGTGTATTTCTGTCGGTCCAAATATTTCATCTCTGCCACTACACAGAGACTTTTGATTTAGTTTAGGAGATATAGTACAATAGACGCTTTCGAGATAAATTAATTTTTGTCCTTACCCATTCATCGAAATCAGTGGTTCCCAAACTTTTCCGGACTATCGCCCCCCCCCTTGGTTCCATAAAGTCACCCCCCGTACCGCCTATCCTACCCTGTAAGAAGAATTCTTCAGAATAGCGGTTTGCACAGCCCACTAAGCAAGCTAATAAGGTAAAATGGTAAAGTTGTCGCTATGCTTAGCTAATTAAACACTACGCCTTGAAGACGAATGGGAGAGTGGATCTATAGATCCACGTTTTCTTGACCTCGGCATTAGTTGGAAGTGAGTGGTCAGCTTCACGACCTGGCCGCTTTACCCCCGAGGAAAGAGCTCTCAGTACTCATTGGATGGGAGGCTGGGTGGGTCCCAGAGCCGGTCTGGACGACGAAAAGAGAAAATTCTTGACCCTACCGGGACTCGAAGTTCAACCCGTCGGCCATCCAGCCCGTAGCCAGTCGCTATATCGGCTGTGCTATCCCGGCTTCTACTAAACAAGATAATAACAATAAAATAAGATACCACATTAGTAACTACTTTTTTTTCCCTTGGCGAAGTGACCCCAGTGGGCATAGGCCTACCTTCATGAACTCCGTTCACTTCGGTTTTTCTAGATCTTACACATTCGGTAGGACTCCTTGGGCGGGTGATCAGCTCGTCGCAAGGCCTCTACCTGTAGACAAACACAGAAAAGCGCACACACACAAACTAAACATCCATGCCCTGAGTGGGATTCGAACCCACTATCCCGGTTTCCAAGCGAGCGAAGACAGAACATGCCAGTAACTACTTCACTGTTAGTAAATTCTTAATGCGACGGATGGGCTTGAGGAAGTGACGCCAGTTTCCCTGTGTCTGGCCTGAAGTCACTTCAGTCGTAAATTAGCGAACAATGAGCTCGGAGGAGCCTACCGCCAGTGCCCCTGCACACCACCCTAGGTAATCCCACTGCCCCAGATGACAGTACAGCCCATTTTGGGAACCACTGATCTAGGGTTAAGCCTACACTGCTTGGCTGCGGAACCCAAATATCAGGTCACAATTTTTTCAGGATACCTTCCAAACGAACTGCATGGCACACGATAATTTACATTATTACAGCTTTTACTGGTACGCATTGTTATTAACGAACAGTCGTCTTCCTATGTTGCGTCACAATTATAGTTCTCTATTCTTCGACTTGGCTAAAATCTTCATATTCGAGAAGCCCGAAGCTGAAATCTCATAACGGAAACCGGCTTTCCTGACTTAGGATTTTCATGGGTTTCACAGAATGACCCGGTATACATCGCGATAAAGCCCCAGATTAGGCAAAGGTGTCTTCCGTCCACATCCTCTCTAATATATTAATCATTAGGTGTACCATTCAAAGTTATGTACTCTAAGCTACTGACAGCTTCTTTAAATGAACCACAATTAACTAAAAGTAGGCCACACCGCTTCGAATCAGAATACGACCCGCAGATTTGATAGTGGTGACCTAAATACTTACGTTTTATTGTGAAAACACGCGAGTCTCGTTTTCATACTTGTTCTGCGTTTTTTTAGCAATATTTTGAGCATATCATTAAAGAATCACCGATGTAACATGTCTGGCCCATAACTTCCAATAAATGTTTATGTTAATGCATATAACTTCGAATTAATGTTTGTTCGTATTAATTGCAAAGATGGAAACTAAGCAGGCGCTCCAGTTAGAAATAGACAGAAGTTCTAGATTAGTAGAAAAGTCCGGGGGAGTAGCCTACGTATATAGAAAATTATTAAATTGAAGGTTCCGGAATTTATTCCTGCATGCATCCTTGTTGGGAACGTTGGTTACGACTTCGTTAAGAACTGGAAATGGCATCTTTACGAAAGCCTTCTGGAACCAATTAGGCCTAGACGGTGTCTACCCATGTCTGTGTTTTTGTATTCTAACCTGCTAAGCTAAGAAATTATAACGATTATAAAAGACAAGTC